GGGCCTTGAGCATGACCAGTCTGAGCGGCCTTGCTCCTGAAGGTCGCTGAGGCTAGTTTTCCCGACGCGGGCTAGGTGACCGGCCCTGCGCCACGCCCGCATAGGTGCGATGATTCGGCGAGAACCGCCGCGGTGATGGAGAGGGTGAGTGGTGCCGAGATGTCGATCCGTACTGCTGAGCAATGTAGTCAGCGATTTCCGGAGGCCGCTGGCCGAACCTAGGAGGTGGGGAGTTGGCCGAAAAACCATGAAGTCCTAGCTGTCGATAAGTGCACTGTCGGTAGATGTGCCCAGGTTCACCACAGTGATAGCAAAGGGGACGTCGATCGGGGGCCCGCCACACGTCTGATTTTCGTGGAATCGGTCGGCGGTCACTAAGGTACGGGCCCGCTCCGACTGCCTGAAGCATGACTGGGGCTGTGGTATAAGGCGGAGTGACATGTGGTGCTGGTTGGCGCAGAGATTGGTCTGCCGGAAGCATGGCAGGGGCCGCGTAGGGAAGAGGAGCCAAAGGTGGTGCTGGCTGGAGCAGAGTTTGCGCATACGACATGCGAGGGAAGTCATTTAGGGGCCGCGGCTCTGTCTGACAGGACGGTTCTCGTAGTGCCTGCTGAACTTCATCTCGGACGATGCTGGACAAAGAACTGACAGTGGGAGCTGAGGGTACAGATAACTTCTGCAGTTCTTCGCGAATTACAGAGCGCATGAGCTCTCGGAAGAAGTCGACGTGGGCGCCAAGACCACCCATGTAGTCCGTAGCAGAAGCAAAGTTCACTTGTCGCTCGTACGTCTGGGTCTGTTACCGAAGCGTGCTTTCAATCAGGACGGCTTCAGCAAGAAACTCTGACGTAGTCTTGGGGGGGCTGCGTACAAGACCACCGAACAACTGCTTCTTCACTCCACGCATCAGGTATCGCACCTTCTTCTCTTCTGGCATGTGAGGGTCGGCTCGTCGAAAAAGACGCGTCATGTCCTCAACATACATTGCTACGCCTTCATTTGGCATTTGCATACGGCACTAGAGTTCACGTTCAGCTCGCCCTCGGCGATTGGGACTTGCATACGTTTCAAGAAGCCGGCGTTTGAAGTCCACCCATGACGTGAGCACACCTGCCCGGTTTTCGTACCAAACATGTGCCCCGTCATTCAAACTGAAGTAGACATGTGGGATCTTGTCTGTGTCATCCCACATGTTATGAGCGGCAACGAAGTCATAGTGCACTAGCCAATCTTCAACATCTTCATGGACAGCACCATGAAAGGGATTCGGCGTTTTTGGTTTGAACAATGTATATTCCAATGGCGTTGCGCCTTCCATACCGGCTGGGTTGGAGCCGCTTGGGACGGCGCTGCCTGGAATAGTTGGGGCCGTCATCTCCTCTGAGAGAAGTCCGAACTCAGGGTCCAGTCCACGGATCCTGCGGCTAGCACGGTGAACAGGCGTAACCACCGGTATGGGGCTGGAGCTTCTTGTACTAGGAGGGGTTCGGTGCATAGGGTACCCAGCACCTCCACCAGTTGTCATGCGCTAAGAGCTCGAAGGAACGTATAAAGGGACACGACTGTCAAAAATCTCAGAGACAAAGAAGGACGTCTCCGCTGGCACGGGTTGCTCGTCTTCGTCCTCCTCATTCACCGGCACAGAACTGACCCACTGTTCACTGGCACAGAACACCAGGTGGCAATATAGAACTGGACCTACGTCTTTCGTCACTGGGAAATCCACTGTGGGACCTCTTTATCCACAGCTTCCAACCAATCTCACTTACTCTGGCGCCATGTTGTTGGTTCAGGCCGAAATGGGACACGCAGCGTACATCACTTCGCTAATTGTGCGAGCACCCTTGGTCCCATTGTTCAGCCGTGTCCAAAGTTGTCACAAAGATGTACGAAGCGGAAGCAGTTTCAGCAACTGGTTTAAGCAACATGTGCACCCATTTTAATACTATGTAGTAGCTTAGTGGATGGGGTGTCACGCAGCTGAACTTGAGTGCATGGGATCAACTCCTGGCCACTGTGATCGCATTTTGATGGGGTCGAAATGAAAGTGAGCCAGTGTGCCTCTGTTTATGTTCACATTCAAAAAGCCCAGGGGTTACAAATAATGTGTAGAAAAGCATTCACTTATAAGAGCGAGTGTATCCGGGCTCTGCCTCAAGGTCGATATGAAGGGCCTGCATGTCACATGTATTTATTAAAAAACTGCGAACACACTTTTGCCATTGGCCGTTTTCCAACATGATAGCGCAAAATGGTTTTTCAGTCCTTTGTGTTTTCACACTGAAGAATGCCTCAAAAAAATACTTTTTGCTACTTTATGTTTTTTGTTTTTGCAAAGCAAGCTAGGACTTTTAACAGTACACAACCCCATCTTCGTCAAATACACTCGAACACGGTTATATTGAACCCACACTTATTAAATTTTCGGGTATATCGAACTCCCAAGTTATCCTATTACAATTTCTTTGTAAAAGTATAAAAATTCGCATGTTTATACAGAATAATATTTTTACTCGCCTTCAGATATATCGAACGCCGCGCAAGCTGGAAAGTGCCGAAGCGCACTTTCCAGAACCCCTAAACCACTTCTCTTTTTTTTTTTTTAACATTTCAAGTAAACAGGCGCATTGTGTGCAGAACGCCCTCGTGATCAACGATTCTACACCTGGCAGCGCTACGAGCTGCCAGCATGCCACAAATACCAAGAAACAATCCCACCTCCTCTCCGGGCCTTTGGAGCCTTTGTGCGACGCGCAGTACGAATATCTCGGATGCGCACTATAAATATGCTCTGATTGGTCGAACGAAAGCCACAACTTTAGGTTAGTCTGCAAGCATCTGTCTGCGCTGCTTGTTGTTCGCCGTTTTGCCCACGTGTGTGCACCTACTCTCGAATCAGCTACTGTGGCCCCTTAACACAACTGCACAAACTAAAGCCGAGTGTTTTGCGATGGTTTTCGTTCATCTGTGTGTGGTGCTTGGCTGCAAGAGCTCCGACTGGAAAAACGAAAAGATGTGACACCTATGTGTGTCACCGCATAGATTCATCGGGTTGGCGATTTTTTGAAGGCGTGGGCACAACACAGAGTCCATATCGGCAAAATTTGTATAAACAAAGGCCGGAACGGAACGGTAGTGGCGGTTCCAGCAACCAAAAGTAGATAGTGTTTCGACCAGTGTGTCAGTGTTGACGTATGCCACATGAGATTCGGAGGGGCGCCCGGCAAAAGGGCAAAGTGGCTTTGAGAGAAGATATCAATGTAGGGTAGCAAAGGAAAGATTGAAAAGAGTGATCGTCAGGGTTTCGATAATTATATGCATGTAACTCCGCTATTACAGCACCGTTTCGAAAAGTTCTCACAGCTCCATGCTGGTCTTACGCTTGTGCAAAATTCCCCCAATTCAACCGAATTTCAACCTCTGTGTGGTTCAGGAGCCCTTTAAGGTGGAATCGAGGTTGCATATGCGATGTCTGTATGCTATGACGGCATGGTTATTTTCTGGAAAAAAAAAAAAGGAACAGTTTAACAGCAATACTGTGCACTTAACGCCGGGAGCATGACCATGCATTTGACGACCGCCTCCTGTTTGATGTAGAACATGCACACAGAAGGCGGCCAAATAGATTAGGCTTCTCGATCATTTATAAAACCCTACGTCGTACTGCACACAAAAAAGCGCAACTTTTTTCTTCTTCTTTTTCTTTTCATTGCTTTGCATCCCCTGGTTCGTCGCAACACCTCTCTTACTCTCTCTATTCAGCCAGCGCACCTCAGTTGAAAAGCACAGTCCCTACCTTGCTTATCAGATCTGTAATGTAACTGGTCATTCATTTCGGGCACTGTGCAGTTAGCACTAAGCGTATACACTGAGCTCTATGTGCTGGTGAACAGGAGTAAGAAAATACATAGCTATCGCCGGTCGTGCGCTCTAAATGTTTATGCTAAAAGTAGTCTGAGCTGTACATGCACGGAATATTATGGAGTACTGCTTAGTAATTTAGTGATTTTGGTTCTACCAAATTAAATTTTCCCGCATGGCAATTAGCATTCAGCAGCTCGATAAATCTTATTTACTGCTCTAAAATACACTTTAACCTGCCCCAAAATATTTTTGTTGTGCTCGAAAGCACACTTTGGTTGCTCCAAAACCTGCTCCAAAATGGTTTCAGCCAATCATGTCATTGCACAAGCTTCCTAGTAAGATGGCAGCAAGATACTGGCAAATATGGTGCAATAGCTAATTATAACGTGCCCCTAATTCTAATGCGTACCAGACTTACATGATCCCAAAACAAAAATACAGCTATGGGGCAGTTTAAATGCCTGTATCGAATTCGAATATAGTACATGTGAATCTATAGTACAGTGGTTCTCAGCCATGGATGTTTTGGGGACCCCTTGTGGACTGGTGGAAGTGATGGGGGACCCCTTGCAGTGGACAGGAGGGATGGGGGGTACAAAGGTAAATTAACGCAAGTGGAACGTGAAACAGGTGCTTTTTATTGCTACCAAAAACATCAAATGAACGAGCCACATCACTTCATTTTGGAGAGTTCATCAGTACGTGGCACATTCATGCTTAAAGAAAAATTGGAGGTGAGCATTTCGCGGGTCATAGAAATGGCTTCCCGCAGACCCCCATTTGAGAACCACTGCTATAGTTTATTCCCCCTTCCCCAGAAAAAGAAGGGGGCACATTGCAATTAGGTAGACACAGTATATCGAAATAAGAAAGATGTGTTGAAATTCCCTCACATAGTTTTCAGTTTGCTGGGGTGCTTTGTTCAGGTTGACAAAACTTTGTGCCATAAAGAGGCAATCTTTACCGGTTTGGTTGTCACAACCGTCACAGCCACGTGACGGTGTTATCACAGCAACTGTACTGATCACTGTCACAACTGCATGACAGTGTTAGTATAGTCAAAAAAATTTGTTGTATCCCGTATACACCCCAGCTGATGCATTACTCAAATGTACATTTATTTGGATTCATTACAGGTAGTCTTCGTGGGAATGGGTGCAGATGAACAGCTGGGCGGCTACTCAAGGCACATGGTAAAATACAAGTGCGTGCCAGCTTTGGAACACTTTTTTTATTTGACCTAGTGACATACTCTGTGAGAGACCTGTCCACTAATCTACTAAAAAGATGTGCATGAAAGAGGGAGGAAAGAAACGTGCTTTCTATTTGACAGGTTGGTTGCTATCTTGGTCAGTAAACTGGTTGTGTCGTCTAAATGAAAAAGAAAGAGTAAGAAAGAAATCTAACTGGCACTTATGCTTACATAGTGCATGGTATTGAAATACAAATCATAGTAATGCAGCATGAAGATTATTGGCTGGCGCGAGTATCCGTTTGTGATTCAATAGAAATCTTTTATCTACAGGCAGTTTGATACAATGGTGAGCATCGATATTTTTGTACACTTTTTCATCGGAACTACCATATTTACTCGGTTCTACCGCGCCCTCGATTGCAACGCGCACCCAATTTCCACGACGAAGAAAAAAAAAGGTAAGACATCGATTGCAACGCGCACCCATTTTTCTCGTTGGCCCGCACGATCACACCACTAGGGAAAACGACTTCTTTCAGGAGCGTCTTACGTTTAAATATGAGGTACGGGGGAAGCTTGTGCCTATCTGACGTGCAACGGAGCATTGCCGTCACTCTAGTTTTACCGTGGCCCGATGTCAGCACGCGAACTTGCTTCGCCCCCTTCTTCTCGACGGTTCTGGTGCCAGGCATGACGAAGTAAAGAGGCGTCTGATTGGCATTCCCGATTTGCCCAAGCAGGTAACCGTTGTTGTGCTGCAAGTTTAGGACGAACCTCTGAAAACTGTTAAGCTTTTCTTCGTACTCCTCCGGCAAGTTTTGGCCCATGCCTGTTTGCTTTCGGAGGGAAAAGCCTAAAGTTAGTTAGCCAGCACCTGCTCGCTTTGAACTGGCTCCGTGTTAGCCCTTTTTCTAAAGCTCACTGCATAGCCCGCACTTGGAGCAGTTCTGTCGTCATGGGCCGCTGTGCCACTCGCTGCTCAAGCACATACTCGGCGAGCAGCTCTTCAATTTGCGGAAACCGACCCTGCTGTGGTTCACTGAAGCCTTTGCGTGAATCTTTGCTGTCGACAATCTCCTGCTTTTGTTTCCGCCAGTCCTGCACGCACGTTTCGGAAACTCCGAACGACCGCGATGCGGCCAGATTTACGTCCGTTTCGGCACATGCGATGACTTTTCTTTCAAAAGTGCCATCGTGGTGCATTCGTCGAGTTTTTCGAGTCGGCCCTTCCATGCCGTCGATGCTAATGAACTACAAGATTACGAACTCCTCTGCACACGTACGAAGTGCCGCACATGGGAAACGCATAGGCAAAAATGGCCGACGCGCCATGCCGACGCACGTAGGGTGCGGCCATTCTGGAAATGCCGATGGCAATAGAATGACCGTATTCATTTTTTTTTTTTTTCGAACTCGATTCTATCGCGCATGCAATTTATGAACTCGCTTAACAGGAAAAAAGTGCGCGTTAGATTCGAGTAGTTACGGTATGTTGTCCTGTGATGTATGAATCAACTATTTTTTGTTTGTTCTAGTATGCACGCTCAAAATAAATTAGCTGAGAGTATAAGGATGCAAACATGCCAAGCTTCCGAGTAATGGCAAGCCCGCGAGCAGAAGGCCAAGTTAGCTGGGAAGATAATATATGGGGCTGGGGGCAGCTAACACAGGACTTGTTTAATTAGCAACACAAGGTAGATAGATGCTTTTATCGTGTAGTGGGCATAGTCAGGGTGTGAATGATAAAATTGGGATGTCGATGACAAAGTTCCCTGCACCATTGTGTTTGTGTGTGTTTTTATTTCTTTCATTGTTGCTATGTGTGCATTGTTTTTGAGGCAATATCACATTTGTGACGTTCAATTACAGCGCTACAGTTCGTTCTATTTCTTTATTGCTGCAGGAACTCCGGCTGGGAGGGTCTCATTGAAGAGATTTCTTCAGATCTCAACAGGATAGCAGAGCGGAACCTAGGCCGGGATGATCGGTGAGGCATTGCAATTTCTTCATGAGCAAGATCTCTGAAATTGGGTGCATTTTCGGCATTGCATGCAATGTTACTCTGTCAGACTGAGCTTACACACTTTAATATCCAGTAACACATGGGTACTCTGAGGTCCTTTGAACGAAGTGACCATTACTGGGAAGACATTAACACCAGCTGGCAGACGGCAGAGGAATGTACCTTTTCTGGTAAGGATGCCGCCTACAAAAGAAAATACTTCAAACTTTTATATTGGTGTAAATGTGTACTATGCCTTTGTATTTGTAGAAACATAGGTCTTCACACCTGCAATGTAGTTACCACCGTAAAAGCACCCTTTACACTCAGAGGCCATAAATAGCAGAGAAGTTGATAAAACACTTTGTAGCCCCGCCGTGGTGGTCTAGTGGCTAAGGTACTCGGCTGCTCCCGGCTGCGGCGGCTGCATTTATGATGGAGGCGGAAATGTTGTCGGCCCGTGTGCTCAGATTTGGGTACACGTTAAAACACTCCACGTGGTCTAAATTTCCGGCGCCCTCCACCACGGCGTCTCTCATTACCATATGGTGGCTTTGAGACGTTAAACCCCACATATCAATCAATCAAAACACTTTGTAGTCTTGGTCATTATTGTAATGCACCCAGAGATGCTTACAAGTAGTGGATACTCATTAAGTTCCTTTGTAGTTAACTGTTATTGAAGCTCTGCTCTTGAGCCCCACTGTGGTAGTCTAGTGGCTAAGGTATTCGGCTGCTGACCCGCAGCTCGCGGTATTGAATCTCAGCTGCAGCGGTTGCGTTTTCGATGGAAGCAGAAATGCTGGGAGCCTGTGTGCTCAGATTTCGGTGCACGTGAAAGAACCACAGGTGGTCTAAATTCCAGGAGCCCTCCACTATGGCGTCTCTCATAATCATATAGCCACATTTCTTTCCTCAAGTTTTGTTATCACCTCGTTGCACTACGTTCAGCACAAACCGCTCCTATGATGTTCGAGAAGCTTCAAGGCTTTAGTAGATCGTTTAGTCAAGATTACGCCCACTGCGGGAGAGTCACAGGAACCTACGTCTGAACCTACGTCGCTGCTAGCGTTAACGCTAGAATATTTGATGGCCAGGGTATAAATGGCGACATGCTTCGTCGCTTGTCAGTTGGTCGACGGCTGACGCTCCGTTCGCAGCTATCAGTGCAAGACTACTAGTGAAATCTGACTTTCCGTTCACCGGGCACAAGTTCGCCCAAATAAACAGTTTGATTGCAACATACAGTCTCTTGTCTTCGACCACGTCTCGACCATGTGACAATATGGTGGTTTTGGGATGTTAAATCCTACATATAAATCAAGTTATGCTCTTGAACACGTGCAGCGAAATAATTGTGGCATCCCTTCAACTTTGTTATCTTTGTTTGTGTTGTTAACTTTGTTTGTGTTGGTTTGAGTGTAATCCAAAGGCAAGGTCTTTGAACTGCGACATGAAAAAGCCTAGAAAGACGTCAAAACAGAACTGAAAACACAGGATGACTCAGGAGTGGTATGTGTTCCTGTGCTTTCTATTCTGTAAATTCTACCAACTCACCCTACTTTGTATTGCTCTATGAGGCAATGTCAAATTAACCAAGACAATGTGTACGGCCCAAAACTTTTGGACACCTTACGGCATGCCATTCAGCTATTGAACTCCACTTGCATGATCGCGGGCTAGTTCGGTCGGAGTTTATCAAAAAGAAGTCACTTGCATTTCAATAGTATGTTGCCGCAATAGGATCACCAGCATGTCCTTCAAAACAACCAAGCGAATTGGTATTGATTCACTAGTCACTGTTCATGGGCATGCCAAGGGACAAGACAAGATTAAGGTGCTATTGAGTTCTAAATTCAGGGGTGTCTCTTCAAAGCTCTCTTAATTTGCCTGTGTATCAGGGTTAGGAGATAGCTTGTTAGCGAACGTGCTTTTATTATTTTTTACAAATGAGCAGACATTTGCCTTGACCCACTAGGAACTGGAAATGACGACACCTCATAATAGGGGCAATACTTCCTTTCCTTCTTGTTCTGACTTGTCCGCTGTTTTGAATCTTCTCAAAATGATTGCATCTGCATGATCAGTGTGAAGATTACTATATATGCACATTAGGCGTACAATTTCCAGTACTCGTGGATTAAAATGGGACTATTTCAGGTTAATCTGTGCACATGCTTTCACTTCCATCATCTTTAAGTTGTGAAACATCGGTGTGATTTTGTCTCGGATGCTTACACCAAAGCTAGAAGTACATTTAGGAACTACTTTCATGTTGTTGGAACGTGGTTATCTTGAGCAATTGGACATTTTTCAGTTGATGCAGCAAATGTTTTGATATGGCAGATCAACACATAAGCACTGTACTACTAGCATGCCGTATATACTTGAATGTAATACACATTTTTTTTCCTCCCAGATCTTGCTATCTGAAATCAACCCTCGCATTACATTTGAATTTCAAAATTATAGCTGTCTAAAAAGAGCAATGATGTGCATCCTTCCTCTACTTTTTTTTTTTCGTCCTGGACTCGGTAAAACAACCCTTGTGTGACCACCGTGGTCGCATACGGTATAGGTATGTGTGCCTTAATAAACGAAAACACAAATTTATTTGTGTCTGGTATGTGTACTCCTTTCTTTTATATTGAAGCTGTTCTAGCATATCTTGCATGTTCCGGCATTGCTGTAGTGACTCATACAGTGAAATCTCGGTATAACGAACTTCAAAGGACTGCAGAAATTTGTTCGTTATTTTGAAAGGCCATTATAGCAAAAGCTCAAAAATTAACCATAAATACTTATTTTTCACATACTAAAATGGCTTGCCTTTACAACGGTGAGTCCGTGTGACTTGCTTTGCGAAGCGATAAGTAGTCACCAAAAAGAGATGAACACGACTGAAAAAACAAGGCCTCCAAAGAAAAACCCCAAGCGTCACGGCTGTCGTCGCCTCTTTCGAAGAAAAAAAAGTGCTAAAAAAGAAAATTCCTCGCATTTCGTTTTCTGCTCTCTTGCTGTCTCAGGTTTTTCGCGCCCATGCTTCCTGCTCCGCAACTCCCACTCTGCCTCGCTGACCTTGCCCTTTCGTGTTGCCCTCATCTCTGCGCCCACATGAAAACGTGCAGCGTGGCGTTTTAACAAAAAAAAAAGAAAAGAAGGTCACCCTTTAGTTGTTTTTTTTTTTCTCCACACCGTCGCGTCTTCCGAGAAGCAAGGCGTCTGTTTGCTTTGTCGTCTGCTCGCGTACTGCTCCGGTGGTCACAACGGATTTCAGAACAGATATTCGTAGTACTGAGGGGTTATTAATATAACGTGGAACTAAATTAATGCTCGTTATTCTGAAAAGTTCAGTATTCTAAAGTACGTAGTAGTGAAATAATTTTACATTGAATCAGCAGTCGGCCCAGGATTTTTTAAAAGTTTGTTAATCTGAAAAGTTCGTTAATGTGGGGTTCGTTCTACCGAGATTTCACTGTACCTCATTATGACAAAGTTGCATCTTACACGAAAATAAGTTTGCTATAACCGAAAATATGTTATACAGGTGTATTATTATTGCAAGACTATTCTTCATTTACTTTGTTATAACCATTATCCCGTTATATCCAGGTTCGCTACATGTCACCCAAGTTGCATCACGTGCATGGGTGGAATTGAGGTTAAAGAAATAAACAAAACAAAATGTTGATGGTGCATATGATCTCGTTAGCCACTCACGTATGCTCTCGAGCTTTCAGCTTTGTCGTCCATTGGTTTCTTACAGACGTGAACTGGCTGAATTTTTCTGTTCTTATGCTCTTATTGCTTTCAAGTTGTATATACAGTTTTCTGTTTGCTTTAGCGTTCATGCCCGACGCGTTTTTGCAGCATAATATCTGACCATGGTAGAGAAGGCAGGTTTCCGTTCCTGGACAGGGATGTTGTCAGCTTCCTGAATCGGGTACCCATTTGGATGAAGGTAAGCAGGTTAAAGGCACTATATACTGCCATCACTGCTTTCCTGTTTTGTGTCGCAATAAAAAGCGTACTGTCTGAAGTGTCTAACCTTGCAGCGGTTTCTGTGGAAAGTGTGTGGAGATTTTTTTAAACGAAATTTTTCTATCTGGGTTCGATCTCCTTCCATCAGTGGATTGAATGCCCACAACATGGTCGAGGGAGGCGATGACAATTTCACTGCAAATGAACGTAAAAAAACTGTGAAACCGTGTGCGGTTTTTGCAGGCTTTATCACATTTTGTTTAAGGGAGCAGACTCACCTTAGACATTTGTTTATTTCTTCAGTGATCTTGATCAAAATGAACTGGCTTGTGCAGTTTGTTATGCTGATTTCAACTTTGTAATTACATTTGGTATAACTCATCTTGTTCCTGATAAAACCTAAGTTCACCACATATTGTTTGAGTCCACCATAGTAAAAAAAAGTGCTTAATCAAAAGTGATGTTTAAGATATGGCAACATAGACTAATAACTAGAGATTGAAAGCACAGTGAAACCTCGTTAAACCGTACCCGCTTAAACAGTAGTTTCGCTTTTAAATGTAGTAAAGTCAAATCCCCGACTTGGCAGCCATTGAACATATTGCATTTTGTATCCTCATAAACCGTACCAGCTTATCGCATATGTATCGGTTAATAAGTAGTTTTTCCAATTTTTGTTGTGCACTCGCCGTGGCATGTGGTCTCCCACTGGGTGTCCCGATAGAACAGCAAGCCCTAGAAATCGAAACACGCCTCGCTTGTTTGTGTTGATGATGATGGCGGCTGTGTTTGAGAGCGACATCACTTCGATTTTTCTCCAAGAAGTATGTGGCTTCCAAAATTGGAAGTTCAGCACTCGGCTGGCTAGGCTTCTGGTGTTTTCCACGTGATGGCGCTTTGCACAAACACGCCGACACGGTGTGCACTTGCTTTGCTTTCTTTGTTCCTTTGGCGCCGTACATATGTGTTCTCTGGTTGTCCCGTGCTGTACAGCTCTCACATCGTTTTTCATGTGTTGTGTTTGTGCTGCTTCATACTTGCATCATGCCGAAACTGGGACAGAGCATGGATTGCTGAACATAGAGGAGAGATTGGACGTAATTCGTGCTATTGAAAGTGGCACGAAAAAATTGGAACTGGCACGCGAAAAGGACCTGCCGTTAACCATGGTATGTGGAATTTGGAATTTCAGAGAGAAGTTGCTCGGCAGTGCTACTGCAAGTGCGAAAAGGTGCCGGCTAAGCGGTTCGTCATTTTCAGATGTAGAGGAGGTGCTGGTGAAGTGGCTAAAAGCTGCACGGTCAAAAAATCTGCCTATCAGCGCACCTCTGCTCGTGGAGAAGGCCCTGGTTTTTGGGTTGCAGCTCAACCATAACAACTTCGTGTGCAGAAATGGCTGGCTAGCCAGATTTAAGGCGAGGCACGGCATTACTACGAAGACTGTTTCGGGGGAAGGTGCTGCTGCTGATGTGAATGGCGCGGAGCAGTGACAAAATGGTCAGCTGAAGAACATCCTGGAAGACTACGCACCTGATGACATCTTTAATATGGATGAATGGGTGCTATTCTGTAAGCTGCTACCAGAAAAAACGCTCGCGTTCAACGGCAAGACATGCACTGGCGGCAAGCATGCAAAGGACAGAATATCAGTGGCGTTTTGCATAAACATCACTGAAACCGACAAAACTCCGCTTCTCGCAATTGGAAATTCCGGGAAGCCAAGATGTTTCAAAGGCACCCGATTGCCATCAGGGGTCATCTATCACAGCAATACCAAAGCATGGATGACAACAAAAGCTTTTAAGGTGTATGTGCACCTCATCGATCATCGTTTTACGGCTAAGAGCAGAAGAGCTGTTATTATTTTAGACAACGCTTTGGCGCACGTCACCCTGGACAACCTGATGGCTGTGAAGCTAGTGTTTCTGCCACCAAACACAACAGCGATTGCCCAGCCCTTAAACCAAGCCATCATTCGAGCTGCAAAATAACTCTACAAGAAGAATCTGCTGGGCCGATTTCTTCTCGCCATTGAATGTGGCAAATTATTCTCTATCGACCTGATTGGCGCGATTCACCTGCTCAAATACTCGTGGCAGCAGGTTGAAGCAACGACAGTTCAAAATTGCTTCAAGCATGCTGGCTTCAGTGTGTGTGCAGGCGATGCAGATGACGCTGGTGACATCATCAACCAGACTTTGGTCATCGTAGACCAAGCTTGCGAAACTCTGCTAGCTGAAGTGCTGGAGCGGCAGGGCGTTAGAGAATGCATTTCCTTCCCCGACTTCAGAGTTGCAGACGGCGATGTGCAAACATCTCCAGAGATGTTCGACGAAGCCACTGTTGCCTCAGTAGTCGAAGTATTGCCAAATGATAGCGATGAGGACGACATGGGAAGCGACAACACGGGTGATCCAGATCAGATAGTGGCCGAAGCTGCACATTGCGTCAGCGTCATGCGGCTGTTTTCCGAAAAAAAGGCGCTGGCGAAAAAGCTGGCTTGCAGCATAAGTGAGTTTGAGGCCGCTGTCGTTGCTGCTAGGCTGCCACATCGTCAAATGAAGATTACAGACTTTGTCATGCGAAGTTAATTGCTGCACGTTTTTTGTTCTTTCATCGCACTCCCTTGAGGTTTCTTTTTTTGACAGGTGAGTGGAAAACCTGACGCAATTTTGGTTAAGCAGTACTACCGTTTAGTATGAACTTTTTCCAAGCTCTGACCAACTACAGTTTAACGAGGTTGCACTGTATGCAAAAGTTTTTTTGTTTTTTGCCTTTCTTGATTATTTTATATGCAAAATGAACTTTCCATTCTCAAAAGCAGCTCTAATTGTGTCACAGTTTTGTTGAATATTTAATTGAAGAGGTTAGTGCTCTAAATTCTGCTCCCATACTTGCATTCAATACATGTACAGGTTCCTATTTCAAAAATAATTATTGTTGTGCCTGCCCTAGCTGCACAGATATTAAGGCCTCAGAATTGAACATGCGTAAATTTACTTTTCTGAGAAAAATTAAAAGACTGCTAAGAACCTGTTTCTTCAAAGGACACCAATCATGGTTTGCATGTTTTGTAATGATGATAGAAGCGCTCATAAATTGGTAGTAGAGCTTCAGACAAAGGTGGTGGGAAATTATAAAGAAGCCCCGAAGTAGGTTCCCAATTTTTTTGCAGGCTCTGCATCGTGCTAGCACCAAGAATCGGGACAGTCAGAATCAGACTACAAAAAAAATTACCACTTCCTGTGGGTGAAAATTTGCATGGACATGGAAAAATACTTGCAGAAACCAAATATGACAATTTTAAAAAAATGAATTTTTTTTTGTGACTTTTCGGTTCCAAAGACCAGTCTGCCCCCTTAATAATAGAACAAACACCTTAGTGGTCATTTAACACACACACATTTTGTTGTTCTTATTAGTGGCGGCAGACGCTATACTCGCGTTTCTCTGCCGTTTGCAGGCAGGCATGCACCTAAAGCCATCTCAAGTGCATAAAAAACAATTTCAAGTTATAAGTGTTTGTTTTTAAAGGGGCCCTGCAACATTCTTTGAGCATTGTCAGAAAATGCTGCCGATCGGCAGTAGAGGATCCCGACAACTCGCGAGCGAAATATTATATCACTGCACATGCCGTGAAATTCGCAATAAATTTAATTATCAAAGTTAGCTAAAAATTGCTTTTCCTTCTCTTGACAAATCACACAATATGCCCGAAAATCACACGTAGCAAGCCCATCTATCAGCCATTGGCTGATTTGAACATGGCGCGCGCATTGTTACAGAGATCGCCGCAGGAGGCCGCTATTTGTCTATGCATGCGCGCGCGATCACACTGAAAAAGTCGCACGTTCCAAGAAAAAAAAAAAGAGAGAGAAAAAGTGCTCAAGGTCACGAGGCGGGCATGACGTTTCTTTGTGGCCCTGTCATTTCTCCCTGCTTAGCTTCTAGCGATTTCCTCAGGATGAGAGAAGGTAGAATGCAATTGCAGCATGCGACAAACCTTTGTAACTCCACTTGCACTGGACGGATTCTTAACATTTTGGCGGCGTTGAATTCGTGAGGTAATAAACTCTTCCAGGGTATTCATTCCAATGGTTACTTGAAAAAGTGTTTCAGGGCCCCTTAAAGCAAAATAAGTTTTCCCGCAAGGATTTCTTGTCCTACCAGCAGATTGACCACGTCACTGTTGGGTGACGCTAGCGGTCATTTTTTGTTAACTTTCAACATCAAGTTTAAGTTATAATTATTTTCTTACGGGACAAAAACATGTTCGCTGCCACCGACTCAATGAACAATCTTATTATTGGCGCCACAATGAGAAAATTTTTTTCGAGTGGTAGAGAGCCCCTTTGATCATGCCCAGCGAGCCTTATTGCTGCTATCAAAAAAAAAAGGGTGCAGCTGCTTTGTTCTGTCAATTGCTGCTGACATGTGCATTTGAAATGTGCAGTATGTCAATAGTCTTGAAGAAACTGCACAGTTAGTAAATGGCAAATAGTTGGCATGATGCAGAAAGGCTAGAAGAAACAGGAGTAAGCGATATTAGAACCAGATTAAGAGGGATAAATAAATTTCGATAGACCGTTAAAGGCATCGAGTCGATGTCTGGTGATCTGTCCAAGTCCACTTTGGTGCAAAGGGGAGGAAGATATAGAAAGAAGGTGGAAAACAAGCGATCTGCTTTTTGCGATAGCATAATTGGGTGCAAATTGCGATAGCATAATTGGGTGCCATACACGTCTTCTCCATTTTTTGTGAACTTTGGTGACATCGAGTAAGTGGTGGTTGCACATTCAGGGAGCAGAACTGTTGCACTGAAAAAAAATTTCCGCACTACTTCTTGCCAGGTGCTACTATTTTACATTGTGGCAACATTATGTGTGTTGCATGGCACAACACACTGTGTTGTGATAATGCGTGGTGTGGCAATGACAAAGCGATGTTGCCACAGCAAAGCACAATGCTGTGGTGGCATCACATTGTGGTGCTTCAGTGTTGTAACTATGTGTGCTACTCGTGTGAATAAACATTGTTTTCCTCAATATGCTTATCTGCTTTACTGGAATGAATAAAATGCACAATGCATATAATGTAGGGGCCTATATATATATACCTAAACCTCGATACAAAGAACCCGGTTATAGCAAAATATCAGCTATAATTTATAACAAATTTTTGTATATAATGAACTTATTTTTGTGTAAGATGCAGCTTTGTTACAATGAGGTTTGAGTGTACAGTCGAACCCCACTACTACGAAACTGACAGGGCGCAGAAAAAATATCCTTGAAGTGAAAATTTCGTTGTAGTGAAATCGAAAAAAATATCGCTGGTCTGAGCTAACAAAACAAGGGAACGTTTATTCTCAAAATTTAGAAAATGTCCGCTGCTTCCTATTTTTTCTCAGCAGCATCACGACGTGATTCTCACCCATGCATAGCAAGGCCATGGTGTAAAGCACACTGAAACAACGCCCAGAACCGCTTTTGTGAGCAAACCAAACAGTTGCATTAACACGTTAACACCAGCAGCTGTCCGCCATCAAAAGTATCCGACAACGCCGAGATGTAAGCAGGGTATCATGGAGCGGTGACTTTTGCATTAATCTATGCCATTCTTATCATTCATCACTCGCCGCTAGCTGATTTCGTTGATATTGCAGATGAACAGCCGCTCTGATTAGGTACCACTCTGGCCAAGCACGATAAAAATGATAAGCAAGCATTGGAATCGGAAAAGGCGGTTGCACCCAGCAGTTGCGGCAGCTGCATAAAAGAAACCGTGAACTGAGTGACTTAGCTTCAGCTTCGGATGGTCTGCGGCTCAAAAGCAAGCAGCACAAAAGCAGGGCAGTCTCATTGCCATCACTATCGAGCAATGGCGGCGCTCATGCTTGCTGAACAGCGGCAATAGAGCGGTGGTTTCTGGTGGTGCCAACGCGTGTTTTAGACTTTGTTGACGCATTTTCAGGCTCTGAAAATGCATCGAAATGTTCAAGATTGGGTTTACTGCATAGCAATAAGTATTTGAGCCTGGAATCGCATCGTAAAATTTCGTGGAGGCGGGACGATTGAAGAAAAAGTGTTCGTTGTGGTGACAATATTTATGCATTGACTCCTATGGACTGCTGATGGGGAATCATGAATTTTTCGTTGTAGCGGAAATTTAATTGAAGCGGCGTTCGTTGTGGTGGAGTTCGACTGTAATGAACTTTATCTCATTCTTGCATGCTTTGATGCACAGCTGTTTTACTGTACTGAAGAATTTCGACGGCTGTATAGCAAGCAGGTACCACCGCCAAGATGATCACGCCATTTTGCTTTCAGGTGAACCCTCACCTGCCTCGAGGAATTGGAGACAAGATGCTACTGCGCGCACTAGCCGCATCCTTGCACCTCGACGAGGCTGCCTGTCGGCCTAAACGAGCCATGCAGTTTGGAACACGTGTGGTGCGTGCCGAAGAAGATCGTGCCAAAGGCGGTGACATTTGCCAAAAACTCATGGACGTAAGTGTCTGATAACTGGTACTCTCTTTCCTTCTTATTTTCACTTTTGAATTGTCCGTAAACATACAGATGAACCTAGATACGCTTAAATGTCATTACAGCCGAACACGGATATATCGAACTTGAAGAGTATCCCGAATTAGTTTGATATATGAGAAGTTTGATATAAAAAAATAGAGGTCCCGAGAGCTAACCTGTAGCAGATCATCGCCTACAATAGGCGCATTCAAGAATGACAACTGATTCTGCACACTTGCCGCAACAGAACGACGTATTTGCATGAAAAAAATCGCTAATCTTGGCCTGCTTCTTTGTGTTTGAAATGTTTACCCTAGTCTCGATCTTATCAAGGTTGTCCAGGAGCGGCAGCTCGGTTCTCTCCATGTGGCTGATACAACATCGAATGATGCCGAATGCTGCCGCCACTTCACCGGCTATGTACACGCATATAGCCAGCGCCTCGTCCGGACGATTCTCTTCGTCACATGCGCTGTCAGCCTGGACATTGTAGTCCGCTTCTACGAAGTCGTCCACGGACACTTTGTCTGAAAGTTCGGCTGGGAAGCGAAACCATAATTTGCGAAAAGTGTTGTCTATACGCTCGGCGGCGTCTTCACCGGTTTCCGCATGTTCCGCCGTCTCAAAGTCAGCGTTGCAGAAGCAGTTGACCACTGCGTCCGTCTTCACGTCTCGCCAGGCATTTAGGATCTCCGCGGGAGAAAACTTCACGGAGATTTCTCGCCACTCCTTCGTCATTCACTGCTGGGTATCCTGGCTGCTGACTGCTTCGCTTTTGCCAGAATTGGTTTTGCCAATGATGTTTTAGCGCTGTTTAAATCAGTGAAGCCACCCGCTGTTGTCGGCATAGTTGTTTCACCAAGTGCAGTGGCAAACCATTTGGCATCGGGCCATCCACCGGAATGTTCTTCGGGCGCACTTCTAAAAACCAGGCATAGAGTGTCTTTTCTATGTTCCCGTTGGCAGAAGCGCGCACATGACAGGCTCCCGAAGTTTGATGCTCCGCCGCCTTTGCCTTGATATCTGCCTTAGTTTTCAACAAGATACTGAGAGTGCTGTATCCCGAAGTCGTTCGCGGCGGTCGAAAATTTCTTGCCTGCCTCAATACTCTGAATAGCCTTCAACGTTGTCGCAAAGTCAAGGGTCTTGCGCTTCTTGCCGCTGGCCATAGCTAAACGAGAAATCTACATTTCAAGGAGTCCACAACGGCTTTGCATGCCATGCATGCAAAAGAGAAATGCTGCACATCGGTGGTACGTAGGCGACGCGACAGCGAAACAACAAAGCGCTCGCGAGGTCATGGCCACCTGCGAGGGTATCAGCAAAAGGCGCAAGTTGGGGTTGCTAGTCAAAACTCTCAAAACAGCTACAAAAAATAAAAGGCAAAAGGAAGAGGACGGCGCCTTTTTCATGCCTGCTCTCCGAGCTGACGGGTACGCGGAGAAAGCATGAGAGAGAGAAGAAGAAACAGAAAAAAAAATGTTCTGCAAGTTAGAGATAGTGCAGTACGAGCCCTCTCTCTCTTACCTTTTTTCGAGTGTTCCGAGTTTTTACAGAGGCGTGGTGCGGCGCTGAGAGTGCCAAAGCGCCTTCCAACTCACGCGGGGAGCTGCGCTCTAGCGGAGATCGCGAGTGAGTGAAGGGAGGGTGGGGGGTTGAAGGGGTGTAAGGGGGTGTAGGGGTAAAGGAAGGGGAGTGCCGAAGCGCACCTTTCAGCTTTCGCGGCATTCGATATATTCTAAGGTGTATAAAAATATCGTTAGATATAAACGTGAGGATTTCTTTACTTCTGCAAAGAAATTTCAAGGGGATAACTTACCAGTTCGTTATACCTGAATATTCTATATATGTGGGTTCAATATAACCATGTTTGACTTGACATATAATTGAGGTGAATTTTATACAAAATTAAGTTTGTAATATCCCAAAATTTGTTATAAAGGTGTACTTCTAACAGACTATCTACTGCAAGACCTTTCTTTATTTACTTTGTTATAAATGATGCTTCGTTATATCAGGGTTCGTTATGTGGAGGTTGTAGTGTAGTACAAAGTGGATGGAGTGAATACAAACTGTTGTGTTGAAATTAAATGTTTTATACCAAGTTTACAATCACCACAGGACCTTATGCGGAGGGTGCCGTGAAAATGTGTAAATGATTGGGCAATAAGAAAAATAACTTTAGTTGCATAAAAAAAACTAATTTGGCTGTCCCATGCGGTACGGCGAGGGCAACTTCATGGGCTGCTGGTGAAGTCCTCTTAATAGCAAGCATGCGTGACACGTAATGCTGGCATGAAAAAAACACCTATCATACTGGTAATTCATGTGATACCACTTTCACGCAGCTAAACTTCTCTACTGTTTATGCCCCAAAGATGTCGCGTACAACTTTCCAACAACAAAAGACACCTGCTTTGTGCGTGTATGCTATGCTGTTACCTTAAAGTTCAAAAATGTGGCTTGAACACCTGAAGTTGCCACGACACCTGTCACTGATGTACTAAAGCATCTATCATAAGTTTCTTGGGCACATTCAATTTTTGGACATGGGTGATAGACGAGAGCTTCAACTACTTAAACTAATATTGCAGTATTCGAATTCGCTCTGGCTATAATTTAAATTTTCGAGTTATTTGAAAGCCCATAATGTTGGTTAATTAGAAGTTTTTCATTCGAGAGCCTCGAGGTGACCATAATTTTTAAATAAAGTTGGACACTTTTCATGTACCAATATCGTCAAAACAGCTGTCAGACTGCGTTGTTGTCGCCATCACCACTGTTTGCAGCGCCACGGCTCATGAAGTGGCCATCTTGTTTAGTCAACTTCGGGGCATCACATTGATGGCATCGGCTAACTAGGTCTTTCGTTGTGATGCGTCAAGTGCCTCAGCCGCGCGCTGGATTGAATTTAGAACAGTGTGACTGGTGTAAAAGAACGCTCAAACACACACACAGCACAGTGTGTGTGTGTTAGCATGTTCCGTTCTGTGCACGTTCAGAGGCGCAGTTCAAGCATAGCATGATAAACCAACTAGTCCTCCTACGCACCGTTGGTTGACTCCGCATGTGCTTCCACAGCTGATTTCAAGTGTTGCGGTGGCGACGTTGGATAATAGCAACTCGCGGTTCCTACCGAATGCTTTACCTGACGACAAAAGCAGAAAGTCTTGAAAGAAGCTGACTATGAAGGCACCGCCAAGCAAGACATCGCACGGAAGTACGGCGTAATTCACTCGCAAATTTCATCAAATGCGAACAAGTGAACTCGATGACAGCTGTTTTGGGGCTGATATTAGTGATGTCTGTTTTGAAAAATTTATTGCCGTGGGCAGCAACGTCGATACATGTGGCCCACTGACTAACTGAAAAATTGTGCAGATGGTTCGGCTAGTGGATGACAAGGTAGAAATGATCCACCACCAAGGACTACTAATGATGCTGCGGGTCTTACTCTTGCTCTGCAGTTTTTATGTTTTGTTGAAGAAGACAATGCTGAAGAAGCACTTTGACATGTGTAGTGCTTGGAAAACTTACTAGCCACAGCCAGGTTCGGCAAGAGACGATGAAAAGCTATTTTCTTTGAGAACTCTCAGCTCGAAGCAATAAAAGTGCAGTTAGGCATTTAGCCTAATTGGAAGTCTGGTATTTCAAAGTTTTTTGCAGTTCTTGTAAACTTCGTATTCACGGGAGTCGACCGTACTATCAAGTGTGGCAAAAAAATGCGGCTGATCCTTCTTTCTAGGAATCGATAAACACGAAAATTAAACATGTCTTCACAGAGATACTCGAGCATTTACTGTGCATTGTTTCCCCACAAGGCTGAAGGAACGAACGCTGCAGCAACAAATTGCAAAGTCACGCGAAAGACGAGAAGCAGCAGCTGCTCGAAACTTAAAGTGCACACCTCAAGCAGAAAGCACGCACAAAACAACTATATGCAGGACGAGCACGAACTAACAAATGTCGCAGCTTGAGACGCGCTGTATAATCCGAAAGAAAGACGCACGAAACAAATGCACATGTATACACAGGACACGTCATAATCTCTATTTCTTTGTGTGTGAGCAGCGTGCTCCTTTTGTTAGTGTGGCTGCGGCAGTGAGCAAAGTGACTTTTGTGCTCTCTCTAAACACGAGTCTGATAAGTGTGCGGGCAGGAGACCCACGCTTTGAGGAAGCAACACTCTCCAAAATGCAAGAGTCGGCGACCTTTCAGCAGGCCCAACGCACACCAGTTGCGCCTTCTCGCTACTGATGACGAAAAAGCACGGATTCTTTGGAGCTCATATACAAATGGTATATTGGTATATTGTGGCTTGCCATTAGCACCCTTGACTACATGCGCACTGTGGCGTAGTGGTTGGTGCCATGTGCTGCTGTACGAGAGGTCACTGGTTCAATGCCCTACGGCAGCGCGTTTGCACAGCTTTTTTAAAGTCTTTCTTGGGAACCTTCAACGCAAAAATTTTGGTCTGTCTGTCTGTAATTTTTGTCTGTACATTTGTCTGTCCATTCTTAACAACACCGAGTACTTGAAACAGCCGACCCCATCCGCAGCGCCCACCAATGTTGCTCAAGCTTCAGCGTTAATACTTGTGCAATTGTCAATTAAAAAGCAATTATTGCGCATGTCTGGGGCATCAAACAGCACGTATGTATTCTGCATGTGCATCTTTTACTACAAAAGGCATACATAAGTACTTCTAAGGACCGTAGCGCTTATCACGCTGCGCTGACCATGCAACACTTGCACGAAAAGGCGAGTATTTCCAATGATTTGCCAAGACGAGATGGTAGTAGCACCTACCCGTTACCTTGCGTTCTACACCTTATCACCTCAGAGACGGGAGGGCACACCCGTCTCAAAGCCACGCGCTTCTTTTTCTGAGATAGCTACCAGATGGCACTCATGTCTCTCGTGCGAAGTGACTTGATGCGTTTGTTCGCCTCCTCTGCACGCTTGAGGCACTCTAAAGCAGCGCCTCCAGAATA